CAAACATTACTTGAAATGTATTGAAATAAGACTATGTTACTCAGTCATCGTATGGATTTAGGTTGTAGTTTTTATAGGGAAATGTTTTAGCCATATTTCAATATAGACATTCCTGGAAGCATGTCAATAAATAACTACTTAATATTCTTGAAATTCACAATGCTATAAGGTCAGTAAAGATAATAGATAAAAGTGTAAAAAACACTCATTTATATGTAACAACAATAATTATTAAGCATCAGCTGATTTATATAATCGGAACTTACAATATTGTTTACTATGTTTGCTATGGCACATTCAGAGATAAATGAGTTTTTAATTTGATAATGATTTGTTTCACATGTTACACTACATGGAAATCACAAAATGACATCAGAATCGATTTGATTGGTTAATAATTTTCAATGTTCAATTTTTGATTATTCTCGGATCAAGAGCCGGGAATAATCACTCAATTAATCAATTTTATTTACCATATATATCCGCTATTTTCTTCTTGATTTTTGATTGTTCTATGTCAATTGGAAGTACATAAACACATAAACAGTGTGATAAGTGGAATATTAAACCAAAGAATAATTTGCCTCAGAAAAAACACACATATTGCACTGACGAGAGCTAATAAGCTCGAAACTGGTATGCAATTAACGCAGCATCCACTGATTGAGAATTCGGGTTCTCTCCATTGTCCTATAGAGCAAAACCAAATGGTATTTTGTAATCTGGCCGTGACCAGAACAATACAAATTCTTATTAACTGTTGGTTTGCAGTTTCGATTAAAAACTTTTATTTTTCCCAGGAAAATCTTTCTTACTCTATATAATTATCTTTAGTGAAATCCACCCCTGCTTCGGAGGGATCCAGAGAGGGGCATTTTTATCTATCCCGTTTTCGTTTTCTGCCAGACATCCACGCAGGGGTTGAAATATCATAGATGTAGAAAATGGAGTGACTTAGGGAAAAATTTAAAGAAAAAGCTTTCCCTTACCCTCAAGGTTTGTTCTAATCTTTCTGAGAAGATTTTGTAACTTATAATTGGCTTTCAAATAACGGAAATTTGAATAGTTCAACAGTATGTTGGTAAATAGATGGCTGCGGAACTCGCTGCGCTCGTCCCGCAGAGGTCCACCCATAAGTTTCGCAATAATCCACTTATTTGTACTTGAACAATAACTTATTGCATAAAGTCAGAATTTGTAAGATTATCCACTTTTTATCAATTTGCCTTTCAACAGGAATTAGTAATGTTACTTTACCAAACTAGTAACATAATGTGACAAGTTATTCAAGTAAAAACGAGTGGATTGTTGCGGAATTTATGGGTGGACCCCTGTGATCTAGCCATCTATTCAGCAATATATTGTTCAAGTAAAATACTAACTTGATTCTCTCAGTTGTGAGTTTTTCTCAATAGTTCAAAAACTACACGTTTCAGGTGATTGTCTTGCTTGAATAGTGCAACAGTATATTGGTGAGTAGATGGCTGCGGAACTCACTGAATCCACTTATTTGTACTTGAACAATAACTTATTATATAAAGTCAGAATTTGTAAGATTATCCACTTTTTGTCAATTTGCCTTTTAACAGGGATTAGTAATGTTACTTCACCAAACTAGGAACATAATTTGACAAGTTATTCAAGTACAAATGAGTGGATTGTTGCGGAACTTATAGGTGGACCTCTGCGGGATTTGCGCTGCGAGTTCCGCACTCATCTATATACCAATATGCTGTTGAACTATTCAAATAACACACTCACCTGAAACGTGTAGTTTTTGAACTAATGAGAAAAACTCACAACTGAGAGAATCAAGTTAGTATTTCACTTGAACAACATATTGCTGAATAGATGGCTGCGGAACTCGCTGCGCTCGTCCCGCAGAGGTCCACCCATAAGTTTCGCAATAATCCACTTATTTGTACTTGAACAGTAACTTATTATAAAGTCAGAATTTGTAAGATTATCCACTTTTTGTCAACTTGCCTTTTAACAGGAACTAGTAATGTTACTTTACCAAACTAGGAACATAATGTGACAAGTTATTCAAGTATAAACGAGTGGATTGTTGCGGAATTTATGGGTGGACCTCTGCGGGACGAGCGCAGCGAGTTCCGCAGCCATCTACTCACCAACATACTGTTGCACTAGTTGCACTGTTCAAGTCATACAATCACCTAAAACGTGTAGTCACTCAGTTCTGAATTTTTCTCATTAGTTCAAAAACTACACGTTTCAGGTAAGTGTCTTATTTGAATAGTTCAACAGTATATTGGTGAGTAGATGGCTGCGGAACTCGCTGCGCTCGTCCCGCAGAGGTCCACCCATAAGTTCCACAACAATCCACTTATTCGTACTTCAACAATAATTTATTAAATAAAGTCAGAATTTGTAAGATTATCCAATTTTTGTTAATTTGCCTTTTAACAAGGATTAGTAATGTTACTTTACCAAACTAGGAGCATAATGTGACAAGTTATTCAAGTACAAACGAGTGGATTGTTGAGGAACTTATGGGCGCAGATCCGCAGCCATCTATTCACCAATATGTTGTTCAAGTATGATACTAACCTGATTCACTCAAGTGTCAGTTATTCTCATTAGTTCAAAAACTACACGTTTCAGGTGAGTGTCCTATTTGAATAGTTAAGTATATTGGTAAATAGATGGCTGCTGAACTCGCTACGCTCGTCTCGCAGAGGTCCACCCATAAGTTTCGCAATATCCACTTATTTGTACTTGAACAATAACTTATTATATAGAGTCAGAATTTGTAAGATTATCCACTTTTTGTCAATTTGCCTTTTAACAGGAATTAGTAAAGTTACTTTAACAAACTAGTAACATAATATGACAAGTTATTCAAGTACAAACGAGTGGATTGTTGCGGAATCTATGAGTGAACCTCTGCGGGACGAGCGCAGCGAGTTCCGCAGCCATCTATTCAGCGATATGTTGTTCAAGTAAAATACTAACTTGATTCTCTCAGTTGTGAGTTTTTTTCTCATTAGTTCAAAAACTACACATTTCAGATGAGTGCCTTATTTGAATAGTTCAACAGTATACAGGGTATCCCACTAAGGTTGGCCAGGTACGATATTATGCAGACCATAGACCTTACGCAACTTGAAAACGAATGCAGATATTGAATTGCGGTTTGCGCCAAAATGTAGATATTTTTTTGCTCTTTAAGCACAGCAATACAAAAATGATATTATGTTATTTGAATTTTTCATGAAAATTAGAAAAAATTGTATCTTGAATAAACAGCGCCCTCTAGAAGACGCGGTGGGAACTATCGACCTCGAATGAAGTGGTGTTCTTGATAACAATGAAATTTTCTTCCAAATAAACCCAAATTGAATGAGTTTGAATGAGGGGTATGGAAGATACAGCAATTTCTAAAAAAAAAATTCACCAGCTTCCCCCACCCTTATTACTGAAGATACGAAAAAAAGCCTAATAACCAAACTGGCGCAAAAATTAATGAACTTTTGATTTCTTTTATTAAAACAGTATCTTAATATAGCGATTTCTTGAGAAAAGTTGAATTTTTAGCTATATCATCGTAATTGCGCCACTTAGCGGTCATCCTAGAAACTTGAAAATAATTTCCATCAATTTCTCTTGGCCGATTTAGTGAAGAAAAAGAAAATCCCGAAGCCGTAAGGTCTATGGTTTCCATAATATCGTACCTGGCCGACCTTAGTGGGACACCTGGTATTGGTAAATAGATGGCTCGGAACTCGAAGTTCCGCAATAATCCACTTATTTGTAAAGGGTGTTTTCAAATAATGGAAAATTAATAAGAATCATCAAAACACACACTCAAATCTCTAAGTTTCTTTCCTTTTTCAACTTTCTTCTAATTTATCAACTTATGATAGTAGATGTTATATACAAAACAAAAAAAGGATCCAGATTCCGATTCCTAACAAAAAACCAATCAGTGGTCTTCTTATAAGACTCGTTCTTTCAGTTTTATCCATTGACAATTATTATTCCCGACAAAGGAAAATCTTCCCCCAAAAAGCAAAGGGTCTAGGTTAACGTCAGATCGCACCGTTCCCGAAGTTCTCCCTCCCATACATTCCGAAAAACGATGTGCCATGATTTCGGGATAATTTTCCTTCCATTTATTTAATATTAAACGACGCTATATCTGTTTTCTGTGACACCCAAACGTCGGTGAATAATGGACGCTGTAACTTTTTTTTTGTTGTTTTTCGACAATATTGATGTCAGCTCTGTATGCCGGGAGCCAGGAAAAAAAAAAAACAAAAATGGAAAAAATAGTCATTGAAAAATGGACAATGGAAATTTGAATGAGTTGTAGTGTTGCTGGTATCATTAGTGGATATTAGTATAAACAAAACATTTTTGTCTCTCAGACATTATTTAAATCAATAATAGCTTTCCTTGAATCTATATTTGTACTCGTAAATAGATTTTGTTGAGTATTTTATTGACTGAAGCGAATTTTGGTAATTCAGCATGAAGCTTGAAGCTAACATTACTAAGACATAATTGCACTAAAAATAGAATTAAGAAAGGGTTTTAACCCAAAGTCAATTAAGTTTCCATTTATTATAATTTATACTTTGTGAATTGATTAAACTTTGAAAACTTGCAGCAATTAGAATAATTCACTTTTCTATTGAGCCAGTTGAAACTTTTTTTCATGATTGAATGAAACTATTAAATTATCTGCAAAACTTTAACAATTCAGCAAAAATCTTTATTAAAATGAGTTTTTTGAGGAGTTCGAATTTAACCCAAACAAAATTCAATTCCTCCTACGCCATGTAGTCTCACGTTATCTATTACCGCCCACAGGAAAATGTCAGCTGACGTCACCAAATCCATTTAATAAACTGGGAATATCCCGTTACGCAGCCTTTCCGGTTGGTTTGCTTGGAGATCAATTTCAACCCAGAAAAATAAGTTTGTCTTGATGTGAACCAACCATAATACCACCAGTCGAAAAACAAAAATTGTGTCGAAGTGTCAAACAAATAATTTCAGATTGAAAACTTTCGAAATTTTTAGTACATGCTGATATGAGCCAGATAAATCTTATAGGCGCGAATCTGCCATTTGAAAAATATCGTACAAAAGAGTACATTTCGAAAGTTTGTAGGGACATTATCGAAGATATTTTGAGGCAAACTTATGAAGAAGAGTGTCCCGATTTGAATCCTACGCAAAGCTCACAAACTGATCAGCAGAAAATCTTATTCGATTACAATTTGAGACTGAAAGGGGAATTTTTCAAGAAGCTAGATGTAAGTTATGACTATTAGTAATACATACTTCAATTAAATGAAAACACAATACATATTTTTTCCCTAATACGTAATAACAAAACAATTTGTCCTCTAATTACTCATAAAGCTTGACATTGACTATAAAATCCAGCGGAACAAATTCGACAATAACAATCTAGTAAAATGAGTTTAATGTTTTAGACACAGTGAAATGGTTGAAACAAACAGGCTCGAACCTAATGTGGTTCAACACTACGATGACGATCCAGAAGATTTAGAGACAATTCTTCTAGAGCAAACATTCGAAAACATTGAAGATTCTTTTGATATTATTGAAGTTGACAGTAACAGTGAAACTGATCCCAATGACAAAATTAAAGATATTTTGGATTCAATGCATTTGACCATCAATGATATTTTAATGAAGACAATTAAAGCTTTTAATCAAACACCTGAAAATAATAACAATTTGAATGAAACATATTTGCTAAAGATGGAAATAATAGATATTTCCAAACGTATGGAATTCCTCAACAAAAAGATGAAGCTGATGTTCAACTTTGTCAGTCTCTTGTTTTGTATCAACATTTTTTGTTTTTTGAAATCAACATTTTGTCCTGATATAGTTGCACAATTTTTACAATAAAACCTTTTCAACACAACAAGTATTATTCTTATCAGGCCTAAACAAACTGTGGGTTGGGTACCTACTATCTAGGATACCATCAGAGTGAATTTCTTAGAAGGACGATGGTTTGTTTGGGCCCCAGAGTAGAGGCAATTAAGTGTAAAAGTCGTTTCAAGGAAATAATTGATCATGAGGGTACATTGTTTAGATGCAATTGACGACTCGATACAAAGTATATCCTGCTTACCATATGCGTGTGAAATATAAATGATTATTATTTATGGCACACACAATCATGAAAAATGGTAGTTAAAACTTATCAGTTGCGGCTCGGGCTTCACTAATGACATAAAATGTTACAGTGTATGGAAGCCTAATCTCCCTCGACGTGACTTTTCTAAAAATAAAAACTTGCCATGTGGGTTAAGTTCAAATTATTTTCATTTTAGAGAACATTTTATCTACACACCTGCCTTTTGCATTCTGTTTACATCCCTTGAGGAAAATTCCAAATAAATAACAACGGAGCGTTTTCGTCCCCCAATTTTAATATCAGCGAAATATTTTAGACCTTGGGTTGGGGGTGGGATAGAGAGGATAACCTGGAGGGTATTTTCAAACTAATAATTCCACCGCGGGTGATTCAAGGGCGAGCTCAAGGGTGAAATTGGGAATGTAATGGAGTGAGGTTTGTTGGGATGTAAAATATAATATACAAATACTAAACTTATGTTAGTTGATTTGTAATTTGCAAGTTGGAAACATCTCATACTAAAATTTCAACTCAAACAGGTGTGGAAGGTAGAAAAATTAACCAGAGGTGAGATATGACTGCTTAATATTCACAAATAGTTACCTAAATTTATTTTTGAGTTAATTGGAATTTGGGTGAATATGAGATAAAGTAGGTACCTTTTGCCAACGTTTTTCTAGTTACTGAGACAGAAGTTTGTTTGCTTTGAAAACGTTACCTTTTTCTATACAGAAAAAGGAGGATGTTGCCTGATCCACTAAAGGAGAAGAAGTAAGAACAAGTCCTTCAAGCGACTAGTCGAGTACTGCAAGTGTTAGAATTTATCTTTCAAACAAACCTAAATATACTAAATGTAGGGAATACGCCAACATTTGTTACTAGGGTCAGACAGGAAGTGGTTAGACATAACACTTTGTAGTCCAAATATTGACCAAATGATCAGGAACTGGAGAGCCTCCAATGAACCCTCTCTCTCTAATCACAGAATCATAATGTTTGACTCAAAAGGAGTGCAGGAATGAACTACCTCGTATATATATCTATTCAGCAATATGTTGTTCAAGTAAAATACTAACTCGATTCTCTCAGTTGTGAGTTTTTCTCATTACCTAGTTCAAAAACTACACGTTTCAGGTGATTATCTTTCTTGAACAGTTTAACAGTATATTGGTGAGTAGATGGCTGCGGAACTAGCTGAATCCACTTATTTGTACTTGAACAATAACTTAAGTCAGAATTTGTAAGATTATCCACTTTTTGTCAATTTGCCTTTCATCAAGGATTAGCGAGAGGATTAGTAATGTTACTTTACCAAACTAGGAACTCAATGTGACAAGTTATTCAAGTACAAACGAGTGGGTTGTTGCAGAATTTATAGGTGGACCTCTGCGGGACGAGCGCAGCGAGTTCCGCAGCCATCTATTCACCAATATGTTGTTCAAGTACGATACTGACCTGATTCACTCAAATCTCAGTTATTCTCATTAGTTCAAAAACTACACGTTTCAGGTGAGTGTCTTATTTGAATACTTCAACAGTATGTTGGTAAATAGATGGCTGCGGAACTCGCTGCGCTCGTCCCGCAGAGGCCCACCCAACTTATTATATAAAGTTAAAATTTGTAAGATTACCCACTTTTTGTCAATTTGCCTTTTAACAAGGATTAGTAATGTTACTTTACCAAACAAGGAACATAATGTTACAAGTTATTCAAGTACAAACTAAAGGATTGTTGCGGAACTTATGAGTGGACCTCTGCGGGACGAGCGCAGCGAGTTCTGCAGCCATTTATCCATCAACCAGCTAAGCCAGTGAAAACGATTTTAAAAATTCCAAGACCGAAAAGCCAACGTTTATTAATTAAGCTGGTTTTGTGCTAGTTTAAGTGGTTTTGTGCTAGTTTAAGTGGTTTTGTGCTGAATTACAATGATTTTCACTGGTTTCGAGCTGGTGTTCATTGGTTTCAAGCTAGTTTTGTGCTGGTTTCAGCTGGTTTAGCTTGTTTAGTGCTGAATTTCACTGGTTTTTGGGTTTGGTCCACCCTCAAATACGGCGCCGATTTTCCCACGGTATCAAACAAGTCCCCAGGCTCAAGTGGCCCCATACCTACTTGAATATTCCTTATTCTTTTATGAAAAGAAATTTGATTAAAAAAAAAAGAAATTCAAGAGCCTGGCATGGTTAAAAATTGACACTAAAGAAAAGAGAAAAGAGATAAGAAATTTGAGGAAAATTGATAATTTTTCATTTCTATTCCAGGGTCTTGGATGTTCCTTAACTTTTCTATAAAAAGAAATAGGGGGAATACCTATAAACCCAACCTCAAAAATGTTTGGTTGCCAGAGTGGTTGCTAAATGGACCCCGCATTATTTAAACGGAAATTGGTTACGCGTGATATTTGAATGAAATTTAAATATGTTATTGATGATGGCGTAAGCAACATTCTTTACCATGGGCGCAACCTTGTATATATGACAGGTAAGGCGGTATCGGCTGTCAAATATTGGGATTTAATATTCAAAAGCAGAGTAATTATAGCAGATTTCGATGAAGCAAGTATCGATTCCTACTAAAGGTCTGTTCCCACAGGAGTCTCTGACAGTTTGCAACCTGTCAGAAACAATCGCTCAGCTGAGTTACAGATTTATCTTGTAACGACAGCATTGAGAACATCTATGAGCGATGTTTACTGACAGTTTGCAAACTGTCAGAGACTTCTGTGGGAACAGACCTTAAGTCGATCAAGGTAAATCGAAAAATGTCAACCATTTTGAAACCTGTCAAAACCCTGCCAAACGGCAGCACTTCTATTTTTCAGTTTTCAATATTTCATGATGTGTCATTTGATAGTTTTAGCCATAGACAATAAAAAATAAAAAGACCTTCAAAAGTATAGCCGAAATAGGTTATACTATTACTGCGCATCCGGTTGCGCATAGCGCATTGCGGAATTTTTGGGAAGCTAGAGACTTACGAAAAATCAGTCCGATCATTCGATTCTGTTTCATCTTCCTCTGTCATACCAATTCACAAGACAAGGACACCGTATGAGTTACAGAGCTTTCCTAGCTGTTTTGTAGAAACCTATCAAACATCCATAACTATAGAAACTGTGACCGAGAAAACAAATAAGTAACCTTAAAATAACGACATTTCCGTGTTGAAATTTGTCATTTTTAACCGATTGGGCGGTCGTCTAAGAAGACTCGAACTCACAAAATCTAAAGAACAAAAAGAATAAATTGTCATTTTTATTAAGGCACTCGGTATCGCGTACCTATAATATTATGTACAACTAGGATAAACTGAACCAGTAAGTATACATGTTAGTTTTGTGATATACGGCATATTTTTTTACTGTTTTAGGAGACCTCAGTCAGAAGAGATAAAATGTAGATGTTAGGCCTTGGCCAGCTTAGCTTGTACATACATTAAAGCATGTATAAGGGATGTAATAACTGTGTTTGTAAACTCTTCAGGTATTTGACCTGTCTAGCTATAATATATATTTTTTCTAGTACAATTTAGTGTTTATTTTGCCTTTTTTTTTAATCTACATCAAAAAATGGCACAAAACTTTATGGAGTACCACATCATTCTTCTCATTCGGATTTGAGAAAAAAAGATGTGGAACAACATAAGTAAGTTTTTTGTGCAATCAACTCAAGTCAAATTTCAAAATTTCCGCCATTTCAGTATTTGTTCCGGCTGCCACTATTGACGCCACCGTCGCTGTGACGTCAGCGCTATACAAACTTTCATGTTATCAATCAGGTACTCTTACCTTGGTTTATTATATTTCTCTATGGTTTTAGCTTATGTGTGTTCTGAGTTAAAAACTGGAAAAAAAAATACAGAACTGTCAAAACCTGTCATTTATTTTAGTAGCTGTCAAAATCTGAAACCTGTGTATAAAATCTTTTTATGCTTCATAATAAATAAGCATAACTTAAATAACTGGAACAGAACTAGAGTTCAGTCTTTTTTTTTAATTAAAGCTAATGTCAGATTCTGACAGCTGTCAAAATTTGATGTCTATGAGGTTTGTTTAATGTTTTATCACCAAGAAACTACCTTTAAACGAGAAAGAGCCAAATTGGAATCTTTTTTTGATAAAAAAATGACAGGTTTTGACAGTTCTGTAATTATTTATTTTTTTTTCAATTTTTGAACTCAGAATTTACATAGGTTGAAATTATCAAATGACACATTATAAAATATTGAAAACTGAAAAATATGAGTGCTGCCGTTTGGCAGGGTTTTGACAGATGTCAAAATTGTTGACATTTTTCGATTTACCTTGATCGACTTAGTAGGAATCGATACTTGTTTCATCGAAATCTGCGATAATTACCCTGCTTTTGAATATTAAATTCCAATATTTGACAGCCGATACCGCATCACCTGTCATATATACAAGGTTGCGCCCATGGTAAAAAATTTTGATTACGCCATCACCAATAACATATTTAAATTTCATCCAAATATCACGGGTAACCAATTTCTGTTTAAATATTGTGGGGTCCTTTGGAATGAAATAGAAATTCAAGAGCATGGGAATAGTTAAAAATTGACACTGAAAAAAAAAGAAGTAGAGAGGAGAAAATTAAGCAAAATTAATTGATCATTTTTATTTCTGATTCCAGACTCCTGAATGCGAGAGATAGAATCATTTGAGCCTGGGAACTTTTTCGATACCGTGGGAAAATAGGAGGCGCCTTTGATGGCCAAAACCAAAAACCAGTGAAATTCAGCATAAAACCA